GTGGTTGGAGGTGATTCGCGACCCTCCAAGACTGCGGAATCGATTCGCGTTTCGCCGCGGTTTACCGAGCACGAGAGCAATTTTCCAGTTATTCTTTTCCAGGGCCGGTTGAGCGGGGCTGGGAGAAGGGGGGGGGGGAGATTTCGCCTCATACCTGCCTCTCCTCTTTCGCGCTGCGTTCCGCAATCAGGGAGAGGGGGGTGGTGGGGCGAGGTCCTCGATTTCAAAAAATGCGGCTTTGATTGATGCCGCCGCCGCGGCGATTGTGCGGGGGGGGGGGGGGGGGGTAGTGCAGCGGTGAGTGCGCCGCGCTGCACTCCGATACCCAACCGGCTGTGGGCCCGAGATCGATTCCCGGGGGTGCTGGGCCTCTCCCGAGATCCACTCGGCCTCGAATGAGAATCCAGCGCGATGTGTAAAAATCTCAACCGGGGAGACAAAGGCGGCCGGGCAGGGTGCTGGCCAAGTGGCTCGTTTCTGCCTTCAAAGATTGCTCGTAGAACTTGCCCCCAAAAAGTCTGTTCAGGCTATAAGGGGGATCTTTGTCTTTGTAATGGTTAGCACGACGTTGGACTTGCAATCTAAAGGTTGTCACTTTTATTCGATCTCGCGTCACAGTGAGTGAAGAAATGGAAGCAGGTTTCTTGAATTTGCCCCAGCTCTGTCCACTCAACTGTATCAATGAGGGCACCGCAGCAAGTCAACCGGTAGGTCGCAGGCGATGGGGTAAAGTCTGGATACTTTCCCCTTCTTCCAAGACGTTCTCTCAAGAGGAGGACAAAACGACCCTTCAGAAGGGCTCTCTAGGGCTCCCTGCAGTGGAGGCCCTTCTGCCAGCAATTGCGTGAGCATGAAATTGCAGGGTTGCACCTAATCCTTCTCCTTTATTTGAGCATTTTCCTAAATGAGTCTCCCTCCGCTGCCTCCACCACCAAGGACATAGCTGTGTTAAGTCATAAACCACTCTCGCCCACTCACTCGCACAGCAATATCGCTGTTCGACTGGCTCGCATCTCGACGAGTTTCCTCGACGATTTTTTTTTTGGCAAGAGGACAAGCAACACCAGAGACATTTATTAAAATGTCTATTCATTACAACTATTTCAACTATTTCAATTTGACCAGGTAAGACCCCCTAAGCTAAAAATCTATTTTTAAGAAGCGACTTGGCCACAATTGATAGCTCATTCAAGTGGCTGACCACGTGGAAATTTACAGCAGCCCAAATACTCTAAAAACGCACGCGGGACAACGAACACACACTGGATGCGATATTCAACCCGCCCGGCTCTACCCCCACCCACGGCTGCCGTGCGCCAATGTAGCCGAGCTGCGCGCCGTTTGCAGAGTGCCGTGGGCGATAAAGTCTAAGCGGTTCGATCGGTCCTTCCGGGCCCTTCGCCAAATCGTTCATCACCTCCTGAGCTCTCCACCCACCCTTCCCCTTCCCTTCTCGTGCCCCCCCCCCCCCGCCCTCCTGCCGTGCTCTTTCCTGCAGGCTCAACCCACGTGGCGATCGCTTTGAAATTGTTATTTTTCGGAACACCGGTCGCATTTATCTTCTTGGTTCTTTCGGTAAAGTCACGTAGAATGGAAATAATAAAATAATAAAATAAAATATCATAAAATAATTCTCACGACGTTTCGGCCACAACGCAAGCAGCCGTCCTCAGGTGGAGAACAGGTCTTAGAGTCGCGGCATCTCTTCAGAAAGGTGAGAGACTCGAGACTCGAACGTTGTGGCCGAAACGTCGTGAGAATTATTTTATAATGTTTAATTTTTATTATTTTATTATTTCATTCTACGTGACTTTACCCAAAGAACCAAGAAGATGAATCCCTGCAATCACGATAGCTTTAAATCGAAACCGGTCGCATTTGTCTATAGGCAGGGAAGGGGTGGGGGAGATAAAGCAAAATTGTGCCACCGTTTTGAATGCAAGAGGCTGGGCACGGTAGAGTGATCGGTGTTGAACACGGCATCGCCATTCGTATGATTATTTAATTTATTCTATTACGGCCGCTGGGCGCAACCCCAAAGGCACGAATTGCCAAGCGGTTAGCAGCAAACAGCACGAACGTACGTGCGATGAAGTTATTTCGGCACCGCACGTAGCCAACCGTGCTAATCGGAGGTGCCGGGGAAGGACAACAAATGAATGACGGCGTGTTGGACGAGAGTTTACGCGTCTTGATTTAGCGACTGAGATTATTTTTTATTATTATTCTTCTAAGAACCGTGGGGGGGGGGGGGGGGGGGAGAAACGCGACAACGGGGTGGCGTTTCCAGACTGGAGCAGTGGAAGAGAGAGAGAAGCGCCGTGACCTGCAGCACCGGGATGGAGCACAGTGCGGATGAGACAGAAGAGACGCAGCGGAGAGAACAGAAAACGCTGCACGCAATATCACGCAGACTTGTTCTCGTTACTTTTAAACACTTTCCGTCGGCGTGATCCCTGATGGGCCGGCGCGGTCTAAAAATATACACCGTGCGTCACTCGCAAACTCCTCCGTACCTTTGCGCCTCCAACACAGAACATCGCACTGTTGTGAAAAAATAAATGTGACATCCCAACTGCCCAACCCGCCTACTCGGTCGCAGAAGCAAATTATATTTAATAGTTGGTGGTGCTGCAGAACATCTTCTCTGGCCTTTCTATGCGTCGCAAAGAGAGGCAATTGCCCAAAATGTCACCAAATTGTATTTCATTTTAAGGCCAGAATGTTACAAACGAATGCGCTGAGTGTTATTTTTTTATAGAGTATGTGTACTTATGCACCACTGCCACCGCTGTACCACCAAATACAATTACCATAACACAAGGCTATTATTCATGTCAATTACCCAGAAGCAAGCGGGGGTGGGTAATACACATTACGAGAAGGCACGATGGCCGGTGGGTCAAGTGACCGAGTGACAACCACCGTGGAGTTGGAGCGATGGAATCAGCTCGAGTGATGTGTTATGTGGATTACTACACAGCGCAGGATGGTGCGAGATGCACGTATGTGCAGTATGTTGAACTTATTTCACACCGCACGGAGCCAACCGTGCAAATCGGAGATGCGGGGGGAGGACAACAGACTATACTCACGCAGGTACAAAAATTGAAAAAAATATATAAATAAAATAATAAATCACGACATTTCGGAGGCAACACAAGTCTCCGTCATCAGGTGGGACCGTCACAGCTAGATTTACTGTCTTGAGACAGTCTTGAAACAGTAAATTTAGCTGTGACGGTCCCACCTGATGACGGAGACTTGTGTTGCCTCCGAAACGTCGTGATTTATTATTTTATTTCTATTAATTTTTGTCAATTACATTATTTATTATATATTTTTTACCTACGTGACTTTACCGAAAAACCTAAGAGTATGAATCCTTGCAGTCACGAAAGCTTCAAATCTAGAAGACAACAGACTAAACACACAAAAAATCAGTTCCTGAAGGAATGAGTTTTCAACCTCGATTTAAAATTGCAGCGCTCCAGTGGCTTCCTAATAATGCCATCGACTTTGGGAGGCCTTCATCCAGCAGTATATCGATCAAGGCTGACGGTTATAATGATCATGGCAATAACGACGACGACGATGATGACGACGACACCCCCAACAGGCGAATTTGACAAGCGGTAGACGAACTCCGAAAGGCAACTGCTGTACGAATCGCTCGGTCTCGTTAGAATCTTGCGCAGGTGAAGACCCCGTAACGCGGTTAGCCACAGCCAAGCCAATGGAGCAATCTTTACTCAGCTAATGAAATCACCGCACCGCGAGCCCCACGGAGATATAACGGCGGCAGATTAAAAAAAAACACAAAAACCTGCGGCTAGTGCGCAAAGCTGAAAGCTGGGCACGAGGCTTCAAAAGCGACCGGGTGGGAACGCGAGAGACAGAGGGCGAGGGCTCCCCCCCTCCCCCGTCTCAACACGTGTGCCAGGCCCGAGCGAGATTCCCCGTGGCAGATGTTCACGCTCCTGGCCGCTGCTCGTAACTTTACCCCCCCCCTGCCAACCTTTCTTTCACTCCTCTCTCCTCACAGCAGTGCGAGGCCAATTTATCTGTGTGGGCAGGATTATTCGGATTGGGTTGAGGATTAACCGTGATTGGTAAAAAAAAAAAGTTAAATACTTTTACGCGTGTGGACTGGTTTAATTATTTATCTGCTCCTGTTAATCACGTGACCTTCTGTGTGGCCACACCCACTCTCAATCTCTCCCCCCTCCCCACTGCCCCCTCTGAAAACAGACGCCGCTCCGTGCAGAGGCATCAAGGCGCTATTGTCATCTTCCCGATTGTCGTCTTTCCTGACCCTTTTGCTCCCGTATTTCCGTTCCTTTTCCATCTTTTTATTTCTTCTCTTTTCCCTTTCCCAGTGCTTTTTCATTTCCCATACATTACATTCATGACTGTACAGTACTGTACTCTATTTCCCGTGGTGTGCTACGGGTAAAAAGTTGCTCTGATAAAACTACAAACTAATTAACCTGACAGGGCGGACAACGGCTCGCCATAACGGTCTCGGTCCACGTGGGCAGAGAAATGCACGTGCCAAACTTTCAGATCTTGTCCTGAGGATCACAACTGGCTCACAGAACCGAGATTCTCCATATGATCACAAGATATATCATTCTATGTTGCTGTCACTAAATGTACAACAATTCAAGCCCTCACCCCCAAAGCGATTTAATGAATTGTCACGATTCTGATTGCAAACGTCTAATTTCTTCATGCCCGTTTTACCGTCCCGTTTGTATTGTATCTTCTTCGACTCTTTTCTCACAAATGCGTGCGCTCCATGAGCCGTAAATAAACATTTCATTTGCACACGATGCTAAAAAAAACACACATTGGCAAGGATGAGGTCAACCCAAGAAATCGACGAATCATCACCACACACCTCCACCGATTGACCCCCCCCCCCCCCCCCCCCCACTGGGTGAAGCATCTCCCAGCAACCGCCGACGTGTCCGCGCGTGTTACGCGCCCCCGCTCACCAAATGAAGTCGCGGCAGTGCGAGCAGTAGGTGGGCTGGCGCAGGTACGTGGCCATGAACTTGTGCCCGTTGACCTGGTGGACGCGGCGCCGCACAGCGCCCTGCCGCTTGCGGGGCCGCACGCGCTCCGTGAACACGCGCCCCTCCTGCTCGCTCTCCTTCGGGGCTGCGGGAAGACGGCGGCGACACGCGCGGGCGTGAGCTGAGCGGCAATCGCCACGTGGTGACGGTGATGATTATGACGGTGACGACGGCGATTCTCACAATTTTCTCCAAGCTCAAGCCCTGAATTCCCACAGGCGAGCTCTCAACACGAGCGACGTTGGGCTGGTGTGGAGAAGTCAACTGCCAAGCTGTTCCACCCTGATTATAGAAGTTTTGTTTTGATGACAAGTGTCATCAAAACAAAACAGGTCTGTCGATAAGACAGAGTCTGACTCTGTCTTATCGACAGACCTGTTCTTCACCTGAGGATGGCTGCTTGCGTTGTGGCCGAAACGTCGTGAGAATTATTTTATTATGTTTTATTTTTATTATTTTATTATTTCCATTCTACGTGACCTTACTGAAAGAACCAAGAAGATGAATCCCTGCAGTCACGAAAGCCTTAAATCGACAAGTGTTTTATTTATGCTTTTCAGCAAAAGTGCAGGAGCGAAGCACGCAGTTAGTAGGTGATCGGCAAGCAAGCACAAGATGAAACAGCTTTGTTCCCCAGCCATGGTCTAAAGGAAGCCAAAACAAAAGCTAAAGGAGGCTGAGAAGAACGAAGGGGAAGGATATGAGGTGGTCGAAAAGGAGGGAAATGAGATGGGTAGAGACCCTGTTTGCAAATGTTGCCACAAGGCGTAGAGTTGCCCCAAGATGGCATCTTCATTGTTCAACATACACACGGATTAAAACAAAAATGAACAAAATACTTTCGCCTCTTTATTAAATGAAACGCTCACGCATGTTCAACTCCCACTGCATCATGAATGCACCTGCAACAAACAACAAAAAGGACAGCATTGCCGATCTTCGAATGTGCAGTCGTACAAGGGTTCCGCTGCCTCTGGTCACGTGACACGTCTGCCATCTCGTGGACAAATCTGGACCAAAAAGATTGAGCACGTGATTAGCGGGACATCTCTCATTTACTGCGCTGTTTTGACCAAAATCTCAACGACATTGAGGTTACAAGATTATGAAAAGTTCTGTATTATTATTTATTGAAACACATTGGTATATTTTCTGCCAAAGCCATCGCTAATTCCACGACTGTCATAATCGCCTCCACCAGAACAATCGCCGGCACGACCACACTACGACGGCCACTCGCACCCTCTTCACCTGTTACCACCTTTCACTTATGTCAACTCTCCGCACTCCGGACTAATAATGGAAGTGCCAGGACAATCAAAAATAAATATATGTATTTTACAGTCAAATTGTCTGGATTCCATGCAGAAAGCAATAAATTAAGGTGTATAGCACAGTAAAAAATTTTTTTTTAAATAGGCCAAAGGACACTCAATCTTAAATGTGCTTTTAAACGACCTGTTGGCGGTCGCTAATGAAAAGCACTGCGCCAAGACCCGTTGCCAAACAGCAGCAAGTCTAAAATGTAATTTTAGCATTTTGAGAACTCTTAGTACACTTGTGAATTTGAAACCAATCACCATAACCTTCCGCCGTCTATTAAATCACCATCCTCCCCTGTAGCACCTCAATGATTTCTTAATATAAATGTTATACACAGCTCTTGCTCAGTCTACTGCTGGATGAAGGCCTCCCAATGTCCGATTGATCATGGGAATTATTCGCTGGTCCAGTGTGGGATTGGTCAAGGGGGATTGTGGGGTTGCTCAGGACTGGGTCATATATCACTCGCCAATGATTTCACCATTTTTTATTTTATTGTTTAGAATAGCACAGTTAGTCGATCGGCAGGTCGCGTGAGGTGGGGTAAAGTGTGGGCGACTCCCACCTCTTCCAATACGTATGACCTACGTGGAAGAGCAGGCCAAAAATACGCTTGAGAGCAGTGGTTCTTAACCTGGGGTGCACGCACCTCCTGGGGGTGCGGGATGTCTTTTCTGAGAACCAAATGGGTGCAGGCTGCAGTGAATGTTGAGAATCACTGCGTTAGAGGGAGCTCTTCAGCTCCCTCTAACGGAGGGTCCTTTCTGCCGACAGTGGCATGAGCAAGCAATTGCAGGGCTCCACCTTTACTGAGTACCTTTTTACGAAAAAAAATATTACTGGATCCGTCCAAAGCTTACGGAGAACTCAGCGGCGGCGCGACTCATTCTTAGGGAGCCGCTCCGTTGAGAGTGGCCAGCCCTTCCACTGCCATCTTCTCCTGCCATTATTCCAGAAGATGCCACAGCCCCTCCTACTCTACACCACCAACCGCCTTCTGCAGCAGTTGGCAGATGCGTCGCAAATCATCAACCACGCCGCCGCTGTCACCGCCGCTCGCCCGCGCGTCCGTCCGCCCAACGCTCGACACGAATTACTTTACGGGCTCCGTGGGCTGCCCGTGAATGACGCGAGAGCGAGTTGCCTGTGGCTCTTAGGCAATGAGAGCTATACATTGTCCTTGGGTCGTCCTTGCATTTATGATGACGATGATGATAATAGTGAAACTTGCATGAATATTGCGGCCAAAATGTAACGAAATATGTCAGAGCACGTCTTTTTGTTACGCTTAGGGGAACACTTCATGGCAGTTTGACCCCCGTGACACGACATGTCATTAAACTACAATTGATATTATAATGAATTATATTTCCAGCCCCTTTTGTCAATCCACTGCTGGATGAAGGCCTCTCCAAGTCATGTCGGTCGCGGGGGACGGGGGGGGGGGTATCGTGACCATAATTCATCATGCTGCTCAGTGAGGGTTGGTGATACACCCCAAGTATTAAGCAGGAGGGCCTCTGGGGTCGTACCACGAACCTCAGCAACAAGTGGCAAACGTGCTACCACTCGGGCACGTCATTGCCAAATGTTTACGCACAACAGCCGTATAATTATAATAATTATAATGGGCGTTTTCTTGTTCGACGTTGATCCAACGTTGAACCAACGGTCTCAACCACATGCCAACGTTGTCTCAACGTTGGCTCGTGTAAGGGGAGCCCAGGATGTTGTCCCTGATTGCGAACCGAACTCAACTCGCCGCTAGACTGCAAGGCGCAGCGTGCTAAAGGTTCACGCGGAGAGTCGGATTTTTACCTTCGATATTTTTCTCTCCCTTAATTGACAAAGCCAGCTAGGCTAAAAGGGGGATGGGGGGGGGGAGGATTGGGAACGTTGCCCTCTGTACAATGGATTGCCTCGCTCTTTGTATGCGCTCTGCATTTCCGCGGTGGTGGCAGCTTTGTTGAGCGTGAGTCACGGCTAGGGATGCTGCTGCAGCACAATTCAATTCACACCATCTCACATGTGCATACACATGGAAATACGAAAATAGCTGAAACGTCTGCACCTCGCGAGGGGATTGCAATGGCGTCCGTTGTTTGTTTTGCATTATTATTGTTAATGTGCATTTAACGCAAAACGAGTTTAAATTATCATCTTTTGATTTTGAAATGTTCCCTCCGATTTACTGAGTTGTTGCTCTGCACTAATGCATGTCGTGCGATGAAGACGAATCCATTTGGAAATCTCCAGGCCATTCGCCCCTTCTACCGCCCCCCTCTCACCACCCCGTGTCAGAGAAAACGGCTGCTGCGGAATAAATATTTTCACAAGACTTAGCCCCAAACATCTCTCCAATGCGGCCTCTTACCCTTTTGCCATGCACTCGTGCTACGACAATATTGAGGAACAAAGCGTAAATGAGAATAATTTTGAGATTCATAGTTTTTTTTCTAGCCGCAGGTGTGGGTGGCCTCGACTACGTGGAAAAAAAAAGTCGCCTTTCTGCGCTCTTCCATAACATCACTGCAATGAACATCGCTCACTCAGCCACTCTCGGATAGCGATATGTGCATTCTATGTACGATATATACACATGCGCTGCATGCTATAAATAGCACGATTTATTTCGCTTAGAAAAATACAACGCGCACGCGTGTAACCAGATGAACCCTCCTACAATCTCCCCCTCTCCCCCAAGCAAGGGAATGAAATTGTGTGCAGTGTAAACAGGCAATTTACAATTAAGCCACGATGATCAACGTGATTACTCAAAAGATGATCGGAGGGTGGAGCGGAGGAAAGCGATTGGTGGGGAGGGACTGGGCAGTCGGAACCTCTCCGTGACCAAAGACAAAGATTCCCCGTATAGCCTGGCCAGACTGTTGTGGGTACTGTCAAGTGCTGTTAGCGAGCACCTATGAAGGTCGGCACAGCACATGAGGGGCTGGGTGGCCAGCACGGGGCTCGGCCGCTCCCCTACTGAACCACAGACACGCGCGCACACACACACACACTCCAATGTAATAGCTCATCACGTCTCAGCTCGAGTGTTGATGCATTGCGGACACCTTAAGATCCAGGGGCGTTTTCAAAAACGACGGAACCCTTAGAGAAATTGAAAGTGGTCTGTAATCATTTCCTATGCCCTGCGGTGACACTTACGGGCTCCATCAAGAGTCGCCGATTTAGCCGAAGCGTGCGCGGTTTTCCCTCTGCGGACGCTTGCTTTGGCTTTTTGGAAAGGCGACGTTCCCTACCCACGTGTACTCCAGGTGCCCCCGAGATCTCGGCCGCAGTCTCCATATGTCAGTAAAAATAATGTAGAGAGATTCACGCTGCTCCCTTGAGAGCCACTGGCGAGCCGGCGAGTTCATGTATTTTTCGTTGATATTTGTTTTTATATGCTGCCAGTTTCGATGCCGCGCGCCTGAGTTTCAGATGGTGTATGCACGCACACAGATAGATACGTGCTTCGTTCACATTGTAAACTGTACGTTCAATGCTGCGAAGGTGCGGCAAAAGAGAGGCTGAGAAGCAGGAGGGCCAGGTGAGATGGAGAGGCAGAATATAAAATTGAGAAATAGGGGGGCGGGGGTAGGGAGGGGGGAAGTGTCTGGTTGGCTCATGAGTTTGTTCGTATGGCACGATGTTTGATTTTTTCATGCCGTGGGTTAGGACGGCTGAGCTTGGCACTGACCATACTCTTGAGTTCAAATCCAGGAAGCTGCCTACGATTAACCGGGTTTCATCTTGGGGAGGCCTGCACTCAGCGGTCGAGTCAAAAGCTGGGTCAGATACGCACCCCCGATTAGCGCGGTCGGCCACGGTCGGTGCGAAAGAAGTTCGACACGCAAACAGATTCCACTTTCCGCCGGTGTTTTCTGTGGCAGGCGAGTGAGCTCAGAGCAGAATAACGAAGTGTGCCGATCACCATGCCATCACGCTAAACGAAACTAAAACTATTTTCTGTTTACCAGATAAGGCCCAATAAGCTCTATAGTTATGTTTCAGAAGCGACCTGGCCACAATTGATAGCTCAACGAAGTGGCTTATCAAGTGAAGATGTATCGCAGTCAAATACTCTAAACCCGTATTTCTCAATGTGGAGGGGAAAACCGGAGGAGCACGGCAACCACGCAGAGTCCATGCAAACTCAAAATATCCAGTTGACTGCACGACCACCTGTATACAAGGCGAGGTGGTTAACATCTCGCCACTTTAATTTGTTTAAATGCAATAAAAATGGTCGTTCTCCTGCTGTAGTCGCTGGCTGCTTACACTCTCTGCCTTTGCCGATTAGAAATCGTGCTTTGGCCAGGTGGCTCAGAGGCAAAGAGTCGCTCAGCTGGCACGGCAGACACTCTGGGATTGAATCCAGGAAAGCGGCCTTTGATTAAACTGCGTTCATGTAAAGTGCGTTCATCGTTTCGTCCCGGTCACCAATGACTGCACACACACACGCGCGCACGCAAAAACCATCATAATAAATGTGGTTCTGTGCTTATTAGTTTGGCTCTCACGTAAGTTGTAAATCGCACGATGTATTGCGCGTAAGAAAAAATATAAATGCACGTGCACTGCTCATCAACACGCATGCGTGTAACCAGATGAACCTCCAATGATTCCCCCCCCCCCCACAATCACCCCCAAAGGAAGGGGAATGTGGGATAAACAGGCACTTTACAATTAAGCCACGATGATCAACGTGATTACTGCAAGATTATCGGAGGGTGTGGGGAGGAGAGGGATTTGTGGGGAGGGGCTGTGCAGTCGGCACCTCTCTGCGACCAAAGACAAAGATCCCCCGTATAGCCTACAGAGACTTTTGGTACAACTGCTTTTAGCGAACAACATGTGTAGAGTGGATGGGAAAGTGCTGCCCTCAACTGTGTTGATCAGATGTTAGTTGAAGGAATGTTTTCTGGGTAGTTCAGTGATATCCACTTCCCTGGCTAACGTTGCACTGCTCCGTGAAGAAATGCAAATGGTTACTTCATCTCGTGACTCGATGCAATCAGCACAATATGGATACAATTTTTCAAGGAATTTTAACTTGGAACTCCGATGAGACCTCTGAAAGCCACAGCCATGGCAAATGGAAACGTTTCATCAACCACGCACTGCCATTCTGCCAACCCAATCCACCCATCCTCTGGTGAGCCACCGATCCCTGACTTTAATTTTAATTCCATTACAAGCGGCGATTTTCCCTTCGTCTTAGGTGCGAATGTCAGCGCGAGATCAAGACTTCTGCCAGAGCCGGCTGTGGGATTTTAATAAACCCCGAGGCTTTTCATTTGTTGCTATTTTTGTGCCATGGCTATGGGGGAATTCGAGGGAGCTGGGGGGGGGGGAGCTGGGGGGGGGAGCTGGGGGGGGGGGGAGCTGGGGGGGGGGAGCTGGGGGGGGGAGCTGGGGGGGGGGGAGCTGGGGGGGGGGAGCTGGGGGGGGGGGGAGCTGGGGGGGGGGGGGAGCTGGGGGGGGGGAGCTGGGGGGGGGGGGAGCTGGGGGGGGGGGAGCTGGGGGGGGGGGAGCTGGGGGGGGGGGGGAGCTGGGGGGGGGAGCTGGGGGGGGGGAGCTGGGGGGGGGGGAGCTGGGGGGGGGGGGGAGCTGGGGGGAGAAGAGAAACAAGTAAACCCGTAAAACAAAGTTTTTCACTATAAATCCTTTATATGCGTGGCATCGGGGCGGCTAGAGTCCTCTCGTCCTCTGGCTTGAGATGGCTGCTACCTATGGGTCAGATGATTGTCTGGCAGCATTAAACAATTGGTAAATAAATATTTATTTATTTTTCCCGAAACAGTGTAAAATTTTGGAAAAAAAATTTCACGAAAATGTATTGTTACGCACAACGAGTATGTGTGTAAAATGTCAGCTCGATTGGATCACGGGAAGTGGGTTAAAAAATGACCGAAAGATTTGCACGGTCCTAAGCAAGCAAGCAAGCACGCAAGCAAGCGAATTTAATATAAAGGATTTAAAAAGTAGAGAGAACAATCAGATACAATCATCAGCGATGGCACGGTGGATCCAATTCAGGCAGAGTTGTGACCTCCACTTGGGGTTTCGTAACAGCAGGTGACTTGATGGGTGCGATAGAAATATTAGGCATTCCCCGAAGTATAAGAGAACACGGGACACATTAGACATTAGAAATATGAGAAATATGCACAATGGCAAGGGAGATTACATCGACTCGAGAACATTGGAGAGGTCGCATTGACTGTTGAGAAAAGCGAGTGGGTTTGGGTAGGACGGCCGTCACGAGAAGGGACGAGGACCGATAGTCAAGAACACTGACGGAGTGGCAGTCCAAGGAGGAAACACGCCAGGTAATCCGTCCACCCGTGGAGATGGAGCGATGAAATCCGCTCATCTGCAGGAGCTAGCCGGATCGTTTGCATCGCGTGACCGTGAGAGATGGCGACGGCTTGGAGAGGCCTTCATTCTGGGAGTGGATAGATCGTGGCTGATGGTGATGATGATGACAATGGGAAGGCGGAGGTGATGCAGCCAGCACCAGTGGTTGCTGTAGGGGGTGGGGGCTTGTGCCAGACCCGTTCTATCAGAAGGCCTGCATGGATTTATCCGCCGAAAAACCTGGGATGGATTTGATTCTCCCAGTTCTTTCGGTAAAGTCACGTAGGTAAAAAATGAAATTAAAATTAATAAAAATAAAACAATAAAAATCAGTGAAATTAAAATTAATAAAAATAAAACAATAATAATCAGTTTTTTTTTTTTGCTTTATTTTTATTAATTTTAATTTCATTTTTTACCTACGTGACTTTACCGAAAGAACTGGGAGTATGAATCCTTGCAGTCACGAAAGCTTCAAATCTAGAATGTATTTCATTGTCTACCAGACTCACGGGGCCACATGTTTGTGACTGGCTATGACTGGCTTCCCTACGGCGTTTTTTTGGCGACAGTAACTTTTAGCTGAATGTTTTACCAAATGTTGTCTTGGATTGCGCTCTCGGCCTAGTTTCAGGAGATGAACAATACATTCGAAACTCTCGCAGGGCAGTGCAAATGCGCCGTGTTAGGGAACAGCCCACGGAAGCGGATATCACAGAACTGCCTTTGAATTGACTTCAAGGTGACCTCTGTTCCACACAGTAGGGGGCTGACCCCCCCCCCCCCCCCATCCACGCTTCTACAGAGAATAAGATTCACCCCATGATAGTCAAACCAATATTTGTAACTGTAAGAGATGACATTTATCTGCATGATGTGCAGAGTCAAATTTAATGGAGTGTGCAGTAATTGATGATCGGGGCCCTTGATTGGATTATGCCGGCAGGGGCCCTATTTGAGGTCTAATTGGCAATTGGCTGAGACCATAAACTCACAACGCTTGTGAGCCTGGTTTAATCACAAGCAGCTGAAACTTGGATACCAACCAGGGAGCTTAACGATTCTCACTCGGGGTTCTGACAGCGCCGGCAACTCGTAAAGGTTGATTAGTGAGGCACTTGCATGGAGTCTTAGAACAAGTTACGGACTTCACAAGTCCTTCATTTAAATTCAGAGAGAGTGGCCGTGCAAACACGTGGATTGGTCTCGTGAAATTAAAGGCAACGATCACAGCTTTTATCCATTTTGTATTTTTTTTTCTCCAAAAAAGTACGCCACGGCGCATCCACGTATGTGACCGCGGTGATCGCGGCTCATTCACGCTGAAACCCATTATGGAAATGGAGCTTGGCGAAAGAGCTGCAGAGTTTCACATTCATTTAAAGTCTGCTAGGAATATGGTCGGGTCTTAGAATTTTTTACGGGGGTTTCTGAAACAGCCATCTCACTTTTTCGGTGCTGTGAAGAAGGGGCCGTACAATAGCCCAGTGATGAAGGCAACGTCGTTGTCTGTTCCTCGTATGTCAAGGAATTGTATTTGTCTGCCGAGATCTGCGTTGTACGGCAGTGTGTTGTTACGCCATTACAATTTTGATAGACCTAGGCCGACTGAGAAATATGCCCGGGTTTTACGGCCCGCGGAAAAGTGGCCACTCTGTCTCTCGCCCCTGGTAGAACATCGTTCGACTATGCGTCATACTCAAACTTGAGGACCCAATGAGCTAAGCAGCTCTGTTACAAAGACGAGCACATCCCATGGCATCGCAGGCTGGGATAGTGCAAACCAACCAGAACAAAGACAAGAAATAATCAAAAATAATTTACAAAGAAACCCGCGCCAAACATTAACATGCGGTCATTTGAGACGAAACGGAACATCGTCTCTTACCATCTCCGGCGGTTCCCGTCAGGTCGATGACGATCAACACTTTGCCTTCCGGCTCAAGATCCACCTGAAAATGAACGGACACACAAAAAAAATGTTGATTACAGATTAATTACAGACAGGAACGCCACGGTCGCTGACAGACACGGCACGCGCGCGCACGCACGCACGCGCGCGACACTCTGGCGGGCGCGCGCGCGCGCCACCTCCGCCTGCGAGTAACGCTTTGATCAAAATTTCACAGGCGACCTTTGCTTTGGAAAATTGACACATAGTTAACGAGTGCCATTTACTCGCCCGCCAATTATGCGCATATTTAAATGTAACTGAAACCGGGGGGGGGGGGGGGGGAGGGCCTTCAATAATAAGCGGATTTGCTAACGGTTAATTGATGAATATGATTACGGTGAATATAAAACGTGCAGACGCGAGTTCCAAATCTATATTAACACGCCGCCTTTATTATGCCCTTTAACGGCGGGCGTGTACATCTGATTAATTGTTCTGAATGCACGCAATATGCTAATTATATTGTCATCCAATTCACTTTCTGAGCGGGTGGGTGGTAGGCAGCAGCGGCAGCGGCGGCGTTGCGGGTTTGCCCCCCTCGACTCGCCTGCCTCCCCCCCCTACTGTGAGTGATCCAGATTCGCAGAAATATTATTCCTTTACACCAAACTTGCCCAAGCAAAAGGCCCAAAGGCCCAAAAGCCCCCTCGCCAAAAAAAAGGACCACATGGCCAGCAAAAACCAACGGTGCCTGTTGAAGCGACAACAGTTGACACGTTTCTGAAGTCGAGCGCGGAGATGATGAACTTCGGGAAAAGAGAAGCGTGGGTGGGACAGTTTCAAAATGAGGCTGATGTACGAGGGGAAGAGGCAAGAAAGGGAAAAAACATTTTAATTGGGTGCAATTGTGAACAATAGCCATATCATACATTATTAGTCCATCTAATCGGCATAATCATTGGTTCACTGCAGCTCCTCACAAGGCGTGCGGTGAAGTTAGGAGATGTCCAGAGTGTGTGCTCGACATTTGAAGACCTAGAGAGCAGAGCCGGTGATTTAGCCGACAACGTGTTCATCAGGAGGCAGTTCCATATCCGAGCAGCAGAGTGAAGAAAAAGGGCGCTTCTATCCAGGGAGCAATCTTCTGGCAACTGGGGGGTGGGTGGCTCGGCAGGGTTGTGCGTAATCGGGTGGCACGGAATCTTTCATATGGGGATGGAAGCATGGCCTGAAGGTCTCTGTTGCTATCTGAAGGTCTCTGTTGCTATCTGAAGGTCTCTGTTGCTATCTGAAGGTCTCTGTTGCTATCTGAAGGTCTCTGTTGCTATCTGAAGGTCTCTGTTGCTATCTGAAGGTCTCTGTTGCTATCTGAAGGTCTCTGTTGCTATCTGAAGGTCTCTGTTGCTATCTGAAGGTCTCTGTTGCTATCTGAAGGTCTCTGTTGCTATCTGAAGGTCTCTGTTGCTATCTGAAGGTCTCTGTTGCTATCTGAAGGTCTCTGTTGCTATCTGAAGGTCTCTGTTGCTATCTGAAGGTCTCTGTTGCTATCTGAAGGTCTCTGTTGCTATCTGAAGGTCTCTGTTGCTATCTGAAGGTCCGCGTTGCGACCTGAAGGCCTCCGTTGCGACCTGAAGGTGTCCCTGATGGATGAGACGAAACGTTCAATCTGGTCAACCGAGTCCTCAACATGGGTGAAGGAATCGATAAGTGTACGTATGTACGTTTGTTTGTTTGTTTGTTGAACTTCTTTCGCACCGTGCATAACCAACCGTGCTAAGTCGGAGGTTGCGTGGAAGGACAAACAAACTAAACACAAAAAGCAGTTCTCAAGAAATGAGTTTGTCAATCTAGATGATTAAAAAGTGCATAGCCCCAGTGGCTTCCTAATATCGCGAGGAAGAACGTTCCAGACGGCCGCAGAAGCGCATCTGAAAGTGCACGAAGTTCATGGTGATGAGTAGCCATCGTAGTCGCTATAGAAGAACGATGATGCTGGGACGACTGACCGCCAGTTGGTGAGCGAGCGGCTGCAGTGAATCAGTGAGTGCTGGACCATCAGTCAACCCTGACTGCTATACTTTTAATTCTACCCAGCGCAGTGAGGTGTGTACACTTTTGGGTGCTCCATCCCAGATATGACATTAAGCTTCCGCCAAATTCGTGGTTTGTATGGTGTCGTAGAAAGAAATGTTTGGGGTTAAAGAAGGCTTTGGCATGCAAACAAAACAAAAAAACTCCAAGCTACTCCGATGGGCCCTTGACCAAATTCGCATGGATGCACGCTAAAAAAAAAGTTTGGTGGCATTTTGTCAGCCACGTGACTTCCTTGCGTCTACTCCCAGCGGGAACGGAGGTGATGATTGCACGCAAATTGCCGCTAAGATTATTATCACCGCTTTGTGCGCGTTAAAAAAAAGCCCCAATTAACAGATGCACACAAAGTCATCGTACGATGTTTGCGGGGTTTTTTTTGCCTTGGACAGGGTTGCATCATTATAAATCATGTTGGGCAGTGCTGGATTAAGCTAGTGCGGGGCTTGTATTCCTGTAGCATACGTTATAAAGGGGCGCCCTAAATAAAAACACACATACATATAAAACACATGTTTTTTTACTTGCATAGTAAAGTAATTGTATTTTTTCATTTGCTATAGAGCCAGATAATACGACAAATCGCTAACTTTCAACACCCAGTCGTTCATAAAAGTTGAAGGCAGTATAGTACTACTAGTAATAGAGCAAGTGCAGAATCACTGAACCGGAATTGATAACTAGAAACAATTTAGTGCGGGGCCCTTGAACGTGCGGAGCCCGAAGCATATGTAGCTACTTTTGCTACGATGATAATCCGGCACTGATGTTGGGCAACCCAGCAGCATTTGTTTATCAACCCCAAACTCTCCTGATGAGAGCGCAAAAAAAATCGAAACCGGTCCAGTGTTTGCTTGCGATAATACAAATGCTGCTGGAAGATATTGGACTGTAAGGCGAACAGGCTGACGGCACACATAACAGAGCTCTGCGTATATATCTTCTGAATTTGAAACCTTCTGCATCTCATCAGTGAACGCTATTGCTGATCGCCTCCTGATTCGCTATTCAGGGCAGTGCGAACCCTCCTTGTTAGAGAATGGCCCACACAAGCGGACATGACAGAGCTACCTCTGAAATCCCACCCAATCAGGTTGATCTCTGGTCTACACACGGTAAAGGGCAGCACTTTCCCACTCACCCTGCATATGAGAGTAACCCACATCTACATGACAGTCAAACCAATATTTACATTCTCAGAGATCAAATTTAGCCACATGAAATGCAGAACCAAACATTTTATGGAGTTTTTTTTGTGCAGTCATTGGTCACCAGGTCAAAACCATCCATTAACTACATCTGGGGACTTGATTTAATCGCAGGAAACTGACCTGGATTCGAACCCAGGGTCTCAGCGGTGCCAGCTCAGCGTTCTGAGTTAATGTATTGGCCTTGGAGGCGCGTGTGTCCACATAAATGCTACGCAAGAAGCTGTAAGTGCAAGCCAGCAGTATAATTCCATTAGAAAATGCGCAAATATCTTCTGGCAGAGTGAGTCTGTCCCCGGGGCTTTAAGATCAAATCAATCAAAATTGGCAGTGGTCCACAAGCACAAATATATATAATAAACTCAACATGTTGGTATTTACCACGACCTTGTAACAGAAATATATATAGACATTACAACCCGATGTGTTGGCCTACAATCACACATCACCCTGAACACGCCCGATCTCGACAGATACCTGAAGCTAAGCAGGTTCTAGCCCGTACACTGCAGTGCTTGGATGGGTGACCACCAAGCATAGCGAGTTGCTATGGGCTCCTGCGGGGGATACGTGCTGGGCAGCAGAGAGCAACGCAGCAAAATAAACCGATGTACTGTACTAACACGCGTCCGTGTCTATGCTCACGGGCTTTACGTACCCGCATTGACCAGCGTGGTGAAGTGTGAGCAAAAACCCCGCGCATGGCGATGGCAAGGGCACTCATCCAGCAGTGGATAACAAAGGTTTGTGTGTGCACCGCAGCGCGTTCATCACGGAGCCTTTAATAACAATCGTGGTTAGAATCGTCGGTAATGCTTTTCCGTAATAAGGCAGTTTTAGTTACGGCACGAACGCACTTCCGATTTGCACGGTTGGTTACGTATGGTGCGAAAGAAGTTCAACATACAGGGGCTCCTCGACTTACGAACATTCGACTTACACACTTTCAGAGATACGAACAAACCTGTCCGTACGGCCTGTTCGGATCGAGAGTCTTAAGTTCAACCACCGCACAATGGATGCCGGTGGTGGCATCTACATCTGCCGAGCATGAAGAACCAGTGGCGTCTACATCTACAGGAGATTATACAACTTTTAAAACCATTTCTCGTGTTTAGTGTGCATGCCCTACAACATTGTTTGGAATCGACACGAGTAAAGTTGGACATACGAACAAATCGACTAACGAACAGACCTCTGGAAACGTAACTCGTTCGTAGGTAGAGTGCACATCTGCACGCACACAGCCACACGTGATGAGGTTTGACTGTTCATCTTCGCAGGATGCTGCCACA